TCCCTGCTAGTGCTTCCTATAGACACACATACAGCCAAACTTACAGAGCCAGAGAGCAGCCTAGACCCTGCACATTAAAAGTAGAAAGTAGCAATTGATTAAAGTTGCATTATCAATGGAGGCCCTAAAACAATAACAGTTATTAGCAGGATATACTTATATAATTATAATAATGATGATAATAATACAATACAATACATTACAATACAATGCAATGCAATGCAATGCAATGCAATACAATACAATACAATACAATACAATACAATACAATATCCCAAAGGTGCTTTTTCACGAAGCAACTGAACTTTCTTGTTTTTCTTTGAAGATGCTTCATTTCTCATCCAAGAAACTTCTTTAGTTTGGACTGGATAGTGGGGAAAGAGCTGAAGAAGCTTCTTGGATGGAAAGCAAAATATATTCAAAGAAAAACAAGAAAGACCAGTTGCCTTGTGAAAAAGCACCTTTGAGATAACTATGACCTGGATGACTGAGAATCTTCATAGACAATACAATACAATACAGTACAATACAATACAATACTGTAATAATATAATGTAATGTGATATAATAATATAATAATATCATATCATATAATAATACAATATAATAATGCATATTTTTGGGAGATGCCTTGCTTCTTGTACTCTATAAAATAGCTATTGAACTATAAAGTGCATAAATGGATAAATAAAGAATGAATGCTTTTGACAGTAATTTGAAATCTCTTCTTTATGTAAATTTAAAGTTGTGTAAATTTAGGGAAAATAATATAGAATTAAAAGGGAAGTTTTCATTAATAAGCAGTCTGAATGTTTTTCCACCCCTAAGAAAGCTCTTCCTGAGTATATCAGTGCTGCCAGTTAAAGGTAATCAATCATTTGTTTTTAACAGCAGCCCACTTTTGTACTGTGGTTATTTTTATTTTTTTTAGAATAGCAAGAAAGTTTCATTTGAAACAAACTATATTTCCATATGTGGGGTGGCAAAGCATCTAGTATTTTACAGTACTTAAGCCAAATTAATAATTTTTGTACCTAACATTTTGAATGATTGTTAGCCCATTTCCTTTTTCAAAGCATAACAGTCATTCTCTTCTATAGCAGAATTATAATTTTATGAATTATCCCATCATTCTCCTATATATATGTGCATTGGAATATGAAGGCTTGTGTGTAATTGTGTTTGTGTGTAGAATCTTTCATTTAATATCAGATCTCATTTCCATGAAGAATTAACTGTAGAAGTCCCACAGTTTCTCCTTCCTCTTTTCATGCCACACATGGAAAATAAATGGCAAGTAAAGATTATGTGAGAGCCTGCATTCATCCATAAGTTCCTGCTGGCAGTTGACACATCCAGGCAGAAACCTAAGCAATCTACTTTGCAGATTGGACTAAACTGAGAGTGGAACATAATTTGATTTTTCATATAAAGATTTTTTCAAATGAGGGAAAAGAACTGGTATTTTTCAGGTAGAGTTTTGAAGAATCAGAGAAGGAGAAGGAATCAGAGAAGGAAAATTGGAGAAGGACTGGAATTAAGGAAATTCAATGGATTCCACAGTGGAAGATGGTATAGACAGCAATGGCTAGAGTAGATATATAGTTTATTGAAGGGCAAAATTGGCTGTTTTTGAGATGGTCTAAACGGTTTTGATCTGAATCAGGAGAGTTAGATGAAGAAGAGGCTGGGAAAATATTCTCAGAATTAGTGCTGAAAATTAGGGACTGGCCTAGAATAGATTTCACCTGAAGTAAAAGGCTTTGGGGAACCAGGAGACTGAGATGGGTGAAACCAATGTTATTAGCCAAGACCAATTTGAAAGAGAAAGAGAATGCAATCTGTTTCAATAGTTTTTTATCAGGACTAAATAGACAAAGTTAGCATCTTCAGAAACAAACACCACCCATATATTTATATTTGTAAATTAGGTATACAGGCTGCCAAACTAAGCATGGATTTTGGAAAGCATACAATTAAAACCCAACACCTAACAAAAAATAAACAAACAATAAAGATAAAAATAGAACTATAACAAGAGGGACAGCATATCAGAGCCAAGACAGACTCTTGGGCACATCACCAGTCTATACAAATGCTTGTTTGAGAAGAAATATAGGGGAAAGTTTTTAAAAATCATCTAAAGGCTTGCTGTATGAGGAGAGTCTAAACTTCTGGAGCAGTGTTTCTCAATCTTGACAATTTTAAGGCATGTGGACTTCAACTCCCAAATTCCACAGCCATTGCTGTGAGTTGAAGTCCACATGTCTTAAAATTGTCAAGGTTGAGAAACACTCTTCTGGAGGAATGCTATTCCCGAGGGCAAGTACCCTGGCAGAGAAAGAAAGTTTCCGAGATTCTATGTAACATTGTTTCTAGGTAACATTGTTAAATGGGAGGAGAAGATCAGTGTCTATTTGTTAGACCACATTAGTTCTAGAACAATAGTGCATTATAGTATGCAATTAAAACAAAAATAGGCTATAGTCTAACTATTCCCCACTCAAAAAAAATGTTGTATTGCAATAAATAATCTTTGCTCAAATATATCAGGAAAAATGATGAATTTGACAGTATTTTACCTACCTTGATTATTTTTCTTAATACATTTGTTTTGGCTGGGGTCCAAAAAAGAGTTGTTGTTGCAATGAGTCTTTTATCAAACCTCGAAAACTGAGATAAGCTGGTATAAAAGGCTTCCTTGGTGTCAGGCCTCCAATTATATAGATTAATCATTCTGCAAAAGCAGAGAATTGACCCCTAGATCTTCTAATGACACTAAAGTAAATGTTCCTCATTTCGCTTTTTCGTCCACTTCTCATGCAGAGAGAACTCTATTCTGCTTTGTTGCCAAAGCACACTTTGGATTGGAAATGCTATTTCTTTTTTTCTTTTTTTTAAATGGCATGCTTACGCCCATACTGGTAACATGCAAAAGAGCTCATATTTTGTATTCATGGACCTCACCCACTTCATTGTATCCCCATCATTCAGTTCTGCTGCATCTTGGACAAAGAAGATAATGTATGACTATGTGTGATTTAGAATCTTCATGATTTAGAATGCAGACCTTGTTTGTACAGTGCGTGAAATGGGGCAAGACTTCCTGATGGAAATATGTGAGAAAGAATAGTGGCAGCAAGGCAAGCTCAGTAATATACAGTAAACTGCATATCTGAATGGGAGTTTTAATAGATCAGATGCATAATATAGACACTATATTATGACAATTGACCAGGAATCTCATAAATATTGGCATGCTTTATTTGAAATTATCGAAGTTCTTTATTTATAAGACTGGTCATGGAGAGCCAGTTTAGTGTAGTGGTTAAGTCGATTAGAAGACTGTGAATTCTAGTCCTGCCTTAGGCACATAGCCAGCTGGGTGACCTTAGGGCTTAGGTCAATGACTCTCAGCCCTAGGAAGCAGGCAATGGTAAACGCCTTCTGAAATCATATCACGAAAATTGCAAGGACCAGTTCAGGTAGTTGTCAGGAGTTAATACTGACTTGAAAGCACACATACACAAACACAGACACACAAAGACCAGTCATGAAAATATATCTTGGGACTCAGAGAAAATTTAGCAAAGTCACATAGCTTATTGAGTCTTTGGCTGTAATGGAACTATTGGTTTGTTTGTTCTGTTATTTCACTTGGTTTACTAGGTAACATATATCCAATTTATATATAGCAAGTGGCACCTAGAGTCTATCTTAACTTAAGGCAGATTTTATTTTTATATATCATTTATTGCTTAATCCTACAGACACCTAGTAAACCAACAATTTGAACTGTAATGCATTAGTGCAACAATAAAGCTATAACCTCAGTCAATAAAAGAAAAGAATATGTATTGGTCAGCACCAGATCTTAATTTTATACCAAACTTTATATTTCTAAAAGGTACTTTATGTATAATGCCAGGCCTATAACTCTTTTATTACATATTATTACATATTAAACAATTAATCTGCATTTAAAAGTTAAAGTCAAAGATTAAGAGATCTTTAATATTTAAGACATACCATCAACCTAGTACTTGAAAAAGGGACTGTCTTAAAATCCTGTAAAACAGGGTACATAAATGCTTTAAACAAATAAATATAAACTTTTTCAACTTAAGCTCAAAATGTGGAAGTACTTAATCAATTTAAGTAGTTTTCATGACTATAATTCAGAAAGGGTTAGCAATTCTTTCTTCAGGCTTTTTTCTCTCTTTTTAAAATTTTCGGCCTATTCTACAATCTTTATATTTTTTTAATGGCTTCCCTTCAATAACAATCCAAGGTCAGCTATAGTTTCAGTATTTCTGAGAGCAGCCAAGGCTAGTTATATTCTGTTACCTCCTATGAACAAGTTTTTTTTTCCTGAAATAATTACATAAAATATTTCCTCTGTTGAGAAAAAATAACTATAATTGTGAGGTGAGAAAAAAGTGGGTGGTTTAATAAACCTGTGAACCATAGGCTTCCCATAGTTTTAAAAGGAGCCCATATAAGATAATGAGGTTGAAAACTAGAGTTATTGTGTATTCACTGGAATTCCTGAACTGTAATCTTAAATTTCTTTGTTATTGTTATTGTTGTTGAGGGAAAGAGAATTGATAAAGTAGAGAGAGTGAGAGTTACTTCTTTGACATAAGAAGTTTCTATTTTCATTCCTTCAGCTGTTTTATTTCACACACACATACACACACACACACAAATCCCATTTCAAACAGATCAATGGAAAGCAACCAATGGAGACAGATTTCTCAATGAGGCAACATAGAAGACTGGGCTATGAAGCACGAAATGAACAGATGAACTTGTCATTCCACATTTTGGAAAGATTGACTCTAGTGATAAGATCTTCTAATAAGCTGATCTTGAGTACCCTGTAAGAAGTCAGTAAGGTATGATGTTAGAAATGAAAGACTAAATTGTGTCAGACATGCTCTTTTCAAGGTTCTCTGTAGATCTCATAAAGGTAATAACAAAATGGATTGGCTACTCACTCTGCATCACCTTGTGGAAAATAACCAAAGTACATCAATGTGAGATGTTACACATGATCTACAAGTAAAAAGGAACAAGTCAGAAATAGGCCTCACTAATACATTTCTTTTTCTCTAATTGTAAACATGGTTCAAAAGCAAAAGTAAATTATAAAATCTAGTACTTTGTATAATTTTGTATGGATAATTTCAGCAAACTTATTTTGGCTAACTTCATGGAGAATTTTTTCTGACTTGTAATGATAATGGCATCAAGGGCTTACTTATGCTTTTTATTTTCAAGTACAATAGTGGAAAATAAACTAATTTGTTGTCTTTCAGAAAAGATACATACAAACTATAGAAACAGTTGCCAGTGCAACTATTTTTTTTCTTAATGTTTGCCCAAATAAATAATTACAAGCATGCCATAATTTTAAAATGAACAACATCTATAAAAATTTATCCTAACCTTTACCTTGGCACTAAATTTAACCATAGATCTCAATGAAAGTTAACATTGTCTCCAAAGAAATATTATAATCAGTTATTTTGATAGTAGATCATGAGATACTTGGCTCAGTAGATCTGCTGGATGATGTGGTATATTGTCTCACAAGTACAGGTAGTCTCCGAGGTACGAGCCTAATAGAGCCTGCCCATTAGGCTCATAATCATCAAATGAATCAGACTCAATATTACAACATTTTAAAATCAAACTCATTAATTGAATCAAATGGGTCGTTAAATGAACAAAGATTTGACTTATTTCCTCCGATAGCTGAGAGACTTTTCCCACCACTGCTGCAGGCTATTTCCAGTCACAAATCAGTTGTTTCAGGAACTACAGTATTGTAAATTGCCTCCCAAGCAGGCAGCAGACTTTAAAAAAAAACCCCACATATGTTGCTAGGTAGCTCAAGTTTCTTCAGAGGGGGGTGGTAGTGGAGAACTCTCCAAATTGCAGTTGCCACTAAAGTAAGTAGCTTTAGCTTTAAGCGTCTCCAAGCAGGCATGCAGAGAGAAATGGTGGTAGAGCTTACAGAACTGTTGGCTTGCAACAATAATTGAGATGAAAGGGACCTTAGGTCACCTAGTCCAGGGCTTTTCAACCAGTGCTACGGGTACCAACTGTGGTACATTGGCACCTGGCAGGTGGTAGGGGGGGAGGGGAATGAGCTGAACCGGTGGCAGCACAGCACAAGCCTGAATGAGAGATGGCTGGAGCTATAGGGCTGTCAGGGCTCAGCAGAAGCCCCAGGATCAGCACCAAGCTACAGTTGTAGCTCGGCACTGATCCTGGTGCTTCTGCTGAGCCCTGAAGAAGCACCAATCAGCTGGAATGTTGCAGCATCTCCAGGGTCTTGTGATTTACATTCAGAGGCTTGGCAACTGATTCATATTTATGACTGTCACAGTGTCCCAGAATCTTGTGAAGTGACCAAAATCTGCTGCAATCACCCAGCAGACAGGGGGGAATAAAAACCAATCACCCCTACACCCCAGCCCTACTGCCAATCCTCAACAGAAATGCTCACAACAATAAAAGCGTTGGACAGGAGGAAGAGTGCCGCTGGGCGCTGTCTTACTCGGCTGTGGCTTGGGGGTCACTTTTTCAGTGCCATTGTAACTTCGAACAGTCACTAAGCAAACTGTTGTAAGTCAAGGATTACCTGTACTTTATCACTTTTTTCCTTTTTTTTTTGGTCATCCAGTTTTTACACCTTGCTAGGCAACTGGTGGTACTCAGATTATTGCCATATCCTAAAAGTGGTACAATGGGTGAAAAGATTGAAAAGCCCTGACCTAGTCTAACCCATTGCTCTCACAAGAGAGTACAGTACTGTACTGTATTTCTGATAAATGCCTATCCAGTCTCTTCTTAAAAGCCTCCAGTGAGGGAACACTCACAACTTCTGGAGGCAATTTAAATTTAAAACCTTTTTTTTTAAAAAAATAAACACTGCTCCTGAGCAGCACAAGCCTCTCCAGGCAAAACCCCAAAATGGGGGGGACCTCCTTCCAGTAAGTGTCAGCAGGATCTCTGGTGGGTCTATGCTAGGGAGAGGAGCAGCACAAGCCACATGCTGTAAGTTTCAGGCAAATGCAAACAAACAATCTTGCAAAGTACTGTACTTACAAACACAATAAAAAGCAGAGCAGTTCACAAAGTGATTACAAACAATAAAGTACAGTACTATAGAGTAACAACAAAGAATATTTTAAAATACTTACAGAAGTAATTCTAGCTCTCTACAGTACTGTAGTCCTCAACCTCAGCAAACAGCAGATCTTCCACACAGCTCCAGGAAAACAAAAACGAATAGTCAGTGCCAGCTGCAAAAATCACCGGATCTTGTTTGGCTATATGACCAGGCACACACGCACATACACACATAGATACACACATATTTCCAGCTTCTCATAGGCCCGAACAGGCCCAGGAAAGTCACAGAGTTAAAATGGCCAACATAGCAGCCAAGACTGAATCCAAGTTACATGGTGACAGAGGCCTGTTTTTGATCACAATTTTGAATTTCTGATGTAAGTACCCTTTCTGAATAACCTCGTTTTTGTGAAATCTAGCTAAATAAATGCTTGTATCTGGAGGAATTAACTGTATTGATATCCAGTTAGCTTTCTTAGCATCTACACCACAATTACAGTAAAACCTGGGGGGGAGGGAAGGACCTAACTGTTCAGGAAGAGAATGCTTGTTATTAAAAACAAAAATAAAAAGGACAATATTTGAAGGGTATGCCTGTTGGACCAGAGGACATAATGAAAAAAAAAGAGGAAGAGTCCTTTTGCCGGATGTCTGATAACCCTAAACTGGACTGAAATGCATCTGCACATGTCTAGGTTTAGATAAAAAATATGTTGTAGTTAGATGGAGGATATGAGATACTCAAAGAGAGAAAAGAAAAACCTGAGAAGAAAATTGTGACTTTTTTTTACAAACATGTCATTAACATTCAGTTAGTCTCCATCTGCTATGTGATATAAGCCACCCAAGAGATTTGGTTACACATCTTTTCTGTATGTTTTTGTTGGGCTGGTTTAAATTTCAGTGGTTTAATCTTTTTTTACTTTCTATAGAATTTGACTGAATCACATCCTGCTCACATACACCCTGTGAATTATTTCATCTGCGACACAAGGATTTGGGTTTGTTCCCTTAAAAATTAAATGTCAGCACTTCATGCAGAACTTGGCAGTAAATCTTTGTATAGAAACTCAATCCACAGTCTGAAGCTAACAGCAAAGAGTAGAGGACATGAGTCAAATAGGTAAGCTGTTTCTATTGCCAATACAAGAAGTCTTAGTAATGATTACCTATTGCAGAATCTGGAAAGTCTATATATAAAAGCTCTTGGATATAATTCTTAAATATTTCTCTCCAGATTTATTGGTAATGGATAGCTTGCTTCTTGTTTTACAATCTGAAAAGTGGTGGTCACTTGCATAGTTTTTAAAGGTGGACCTGTCAGTCTCAGAAGATCTTTTTGTTTCCAGGCTTAGCAGCAACTCAAAGTTTGTATATGAGCCAAATATATTTCCAAAGATAGACACAGTACAAACATCACTCCTGAAGTACTGTTTGCTTGGTAATTTATTTATTTGTCCAATTTAGAGCTGCTCTTTATATGAAATGGAATTTCTAGATGCTTACATTTGTGCTCTGAAACCTAAAATTTGTACTGCTGATAGAACTTTAAATCCAGGAGAAGACCTTTTCCTTTTGAAGACATAGCCAGATGCACTGGTATTTACCATCTGAGTCTATTCATGATGCAATAAAAATAATTGCATAGCAGAATTGTAATTGCCATAACTGTAATTGGTAAATGGACTGATTTTAATTAATGATGTAATTCATTTCCTTGTTATCATACATCTTCCTATGATTATTTCTTGGTAGTTTGCAGGAGATACCACCTGGGTGCTATATTAGGGCTGCAAATATATTTGCCTTCATTCCTGCAAAGATTTGGACAACTGCTAGAGATACCAAACACCTGCTGTGTTGCTTTATCATGGTCATCCAGGTTGTGGCATCCAGGATAAGGTAATCCTAATTTGGAGGACTGTAAATTTAGGAAAACACTTGTCCAAGTATTCCTGCTTTTGTTTATAAGCATTTAGGTCCTGAACTGAAACTCAGCAAATTCTCAGGATATTGGTGAGATTATATAAAATGAAAGCTAACAAACAAATATGTAGTGTATAGTGGTCTTTACATAATAAAAATTGGTCTGTTCACCTCACAAACCACAATAATCTTTAAAGTGAACATGGAATATGTGGTTTTTCCCAGTAGGAATACAGATTTTACTGTATTGTTAATTTTATATCATTGCACTCAGTTCTGGAATGAAAAATAAAATGTTGTAGTGGTTCTCAATCTTTTTAATGCCGCGACCCCCAACCGGTCGTAAGTCGAGGACTACTCAACCGGTCGTAAGTTGAGGACTACTCAACTGGTGCAGCACCATTTGCAGAATGGGACTTTTGGCGGGCTCAGCAGGGCAGAGACAGCCTGGACAATTCCTATTGGCTTTTGAAAGCCAATAGAATTAGACTCTATTCAAGAGTGTCTATTCTATTTATTTATTTATTTATTTATTTAAATTTATAGACTGCCCCATTCCTGCAGGACTCCGGGCGGTTAACAATAAAAACACAATATAATTTAACAAAAAGCCAATAGAATAAAAGGGAGTAACACAGCTAAGGAAAAGGGGGAAAAAATGCCGGACTGCGTAGTTTGGCGACCCCTGTGAAATGGTCATTCGACCCCACAGGTTGAGAACCATTGTTGTAGTATAAGATTTAATTGATACCTCATACAAGGAAAAGCAAATACATGATAATTTTAAAATAACAAAGAACATTTTATGGTTCTAAAGATGCAAATCTTTAACATTATATATTCATGGATGTACACAGTCAGAGAGCAGGAACCATTAGTAAAATGCTAATAATGTAAAAAATATGCCTCATCTCCATTCTGTTTCTGCAGAATGTGCACTTCTTGTAACTGATTTAGTTAATTATTTCTATGCATATAGATGGTTCTATTTTAGCAGTTAAATGTTAAACTAAAAATACTGAACTAAAATAAAATATGCAATTACAGGTAAAATAAAATAGAAAGATATTGATTGAGTCTTAAATTTTAAATAACTCAAGGCATTTTTTTTTCTTTTAAACTGTTATGTTTTACCCATTTTGTTTGTGTACTTCCTAAATATTGTCCATTTCCTAAATGATGTTCACTGCCTAAATTTAATAGAACCAAAGTAAATCAAGTACAATATTATCTTGGTTTAGTTTGCAAGGTTTAGTTTAATTGTAAAAGAGATATTTAGTTAATTATACAAAGTCAAAGGTGGTGAAGAGTTCTAGTAGCCCCAACTGATTATGCTAATGATAAGCAGTGCTCCAATTTTCATTTCCACAACATCTGAGAAGCATGAGTTCACCATTCCTGTCCAATTAAATGATTTCCTTGTCCAAATATTTAATATTTTGCTAATTGGCAGACTATTAATATGAATGACTACATGAGTTGCTTACTCCAACTTTACTTAACTTCTTTAAGTATGCAGGATGATTGTCCTAGACTGAGCGCTATTCTCATCTGTTAATCAAAGTCCATGGACAAAGTTACTGAGATCCACTCCGTTAAGAACAAAAAGAAGGCTGATTCGCTTTAAATATTTTATATTGAAAATGGCTAAAGAATAGTGGTAAAGCAAGCAGTTTTAACAACACTTGTTTCTAGTTTCATTTTTGTTTTTGTTTTTTTAAAAAAGAAAGACAAACAAATTTAGTGATATTTTCAAATGGTAAATACAAATTTATATAGTCTGCAGGCAACAACTTTGAAACTAATATTCCAAATAAGGGTCTCCTACAGAACTAATGATATGGGGACCTTTATATGATAGTCTCTTAAATAGGTGTATGTGTTTTTGGAAGTCCAAAATGAAATTATAATGAATAACCCATGAAAATTTTTAACTCGTATTTAATGTCAACGGCATAAATCAAATGAGAAATTGACAATTTATGGAAATGATTTGAATCTACAGACAGAACAAACTATAAGAATCTAATTCATAATACAAAGACAAAGCATATAGAAGCATGTGTATTTCAATAAGAGAGATGCATGGTACTGGAGGCAAACATTATTGACAAGATTGGCAGGTGGAATGGGGAAAATTGAAAGAAATGAGTCACTTTATATTTTGGTCAACTAATAAAAGACAGAAAGAGAAATATAGAAGCTTGCTATAGGTCAGAAGGAGCAAAAAATCAGAAAATGTGGCATATACACATCTAAAGAGGTACAACCTTTTTTAAACAGGTATCACTTCATTTGGGAAAAAAAAGAATACAACAGAAAGAATATTTTGGATTGAAGAGCAAAAGTGTGGAAAGGAGAAGGAAAAACACTTTGGTTTGCAGCTCATGAACAAAGTTCTGATCCTCAAGGTCAATATTAAATGGATCATCCAGAAGGTCGAAGTGAAAGAAGATTGTCATTCCCATCAGTAACTGCTTTGTCAGTACTCTTTGGTTGGATCTGGTGCTTTGCTTTCTGAACCATGTTTTTCTTTGTGCCCGGATATTCAGACAGTTCAAAAGGCAAGTACTGTATTCCTATATGCCAGGGAGAGCTTTCCCTCACCTTTTATAGGAGCATTGCTATTTTAGGTAGTCATTCCTCAGAGAAATGGATGATAAAGTTAAGTGGTAAAGCTAGCAAAAGAGAGTCCCAAGGAAAACAAAAACAAATAAAAGACTGAACAGGGTGAACAGGATAGGTTTCTAAAGATTTTCCAGACTTTTTTTTTTGTAAAGGATCTCCCTTTTTTTAAGAAAAGGACCTCCCAATTTTAGCAATGCTGTTTAGAAGGAAAGGATTGCCCTGTCCTGTTCACCTGTTTCAGTCTTTTATTCATTTTTGTCTTGTACTGACAAAATCTGTTCAATCTGTTTCCAAGGGACAACAGATTGAAAAATGAATGCCTGTTGGGTTCTTTTAATAACATTTTTAATCTCTTATTACAATCAAAAGATACATAAGAGATCATGTTTTCACTTTTTTCCCTAGGTTTACCAGATTCCTTCTTGTGTAGAAGGCTATCAATTTGACTAAAGAAGAAAACTGGTTGCAATTATCAGCATTTTGGACCTCTTAGCTCATTATTTCAAAGTTGTACAAAGCTTGAGCCAAATTAAGTGTGTTGTTTAGAAGTAGGAACAAATCCTATAACAATTAGATGTTATGTGTGCATGGTGATGCAATCAACTTAATAACAAGTCATTTCTCTCACAAAAGCCTCAAAAACCCTTTCTCCTACATGCACAAAGGGAACTTCTGGCCTACTCATTCATAATCCATACACAATAGACCTTGGCTGTTCCCCCCTTATTTTTTTTTTTTAATGTAAGAAACCTGATTCTTCTAAATTAACATTAAAACAAACAAACAAGCAAATGTTTTTTCTCTCATATAAATGTCATTTTTAATTTAAGGCAAGTCTGGCTTTAAATCTCAGAACAACTAAGATTCTTTAGAAGATAATGTTGTACTTAGGCATGCTTTCAGAGTAATGAGAACAATTTGTACATCACCTTCAATTCACTAAATAAATTGTGCTTCACTATATCATGTAAGTGAATGAGTATCCCACAATTCACAGAATGAAGTCTTAATTTTTTCTCTCTCTTAAGTATAATATAACTTGGTTAACAGAGTCTTTGCAACATTTAAAATTTACTTTTGTACAAACTGACTGAGAATATAGATCAATATAGACAAGTGGTGGTGAACCTATAGCATGGGTGCCAGAGGCAGTACTCAGAGCCCTCTCTGTGGGCATGCGTGCCATCGCCCCAATCCTAGGCCTTCAGCTGGGTTTTATAAAACCTTTTCGCTTTAGGCCTCCGCCGCCCTGTGCAAAAAAAAAAAAAAGGTTCAATCAGTCAATTTCAACTTCTCACGGGAAAAAAAAAGAACTTGCAAAGTTGGAATGTATTGATTGAACTTTTTAGTCCCACCCTGTCTGCCGTTACCACTGCAGCCACGCCCACCCAATGGGCCACACCCATCCAGCGATGCATAAGTGGGTTTTGGGTTGCAGTTTGGGCACTCAGTCTCTAAAAGGTTCGCCATCACTGATATAGACCATTGAGCTAAATATTATGTGAGTTGTTGGTTGGAATCCCATGACAATTAAAACTTGACCCAGAATAATTATCATAACTTGGCAAAATTAGTCTCATTTGTACCTTTTACCAAATTTAAGAGTGTTTCTTAAATTTAAGCTATATCATGGCTCCTTTAATTTGAAATTACCCTTGAATATTCCATTTTGCTATTTCTAGGAAAGCTGCTAGCGATTTTAAATCTTTAGAAATATGGATCATTTCCATTATATCAAAAAGATATCAGTTGATTTAATCTGACATATAGCAAGTACCATCTCAAAAATACTTCCAAGATGGCTGCCTCATAAATGTTTCATCATCCCAGCATGTGAAGCTTTTCTCAAAGAATATTTATGAATGTTGGTTCCTCTCATAGCCTTGGGTTAGAGTGAGCAGGTATTGTATTTGTAGGGGGAAGAGACTATAGCTTTGAGTGACAGGAGGAAGAGTCACTATCAAGACAATAATCAGATAAAAGAGAACTGAGTCAAAAACAGGTACCAGATATAGCACATGGGGGGGAGGGCAGTGAGAAGTTTATGGCTCATGGGTGGAAAAGTTCAAAAGTCACCAAACAGCTTGATCTATGGTTCTTGACTCCTATGTTAAGAATCAGATCCTGTGTTCTGGTTCAAAATGTTCATTAAAAAAGCAAGAAGGATGTAACTGAACATACATTATCCATACTATTTTTCTTCATTTGTAAATGAATTATCAACAGGATAATCTGAAACCCCGTAAGCATATTTAGATTTAAGGCTTGAGTGGCTCATTGCATTTGGGTTTATCTAATACAACAGATCTATCTATTTAGTATTATTTGCTTGCTCTTTTGTTAAGCAATGAGAGAGAGAGAGAAGTTACGTCGTGTTCAAATATAATCATTGATTTTAAAAAATGAAGAACAAGCAAACAAATTCAAATATTCTAAAAGACCTTGTTTTTATTGAGTATAGTATTTAGTATATTGACTGCTGAGATTATTTGTATTTTCTGATATCTTGTGCAGCAAAAATAAAATGTCACAGGCTGGCTATGATGATGAAGCTGTATCCTGGCACACCACTGACATTAAAGATCAATGAAGCAACCAATTTGTGCAAAATGGAAAATACATTAAAATAAAGTATATTGATGATCTGTTGACAAATATGCACTTAGTCAAGTCACTTGAAAGAGTGTAGCTAACAGTCACTGCCATTCCTTATAAATATATTTATTTGCATACTTGCTACTTGAATAGGCCATGAACGTGAAAGCAAAATTTCTGAAGTATAGTCCATTCATTTATTACGATTTAAAAATAAAAAGCTGCTGAATACAACAGTTTTAAAACCCTCATAGCTTGGATGCAGAACACTCAAGAATTGCTATATTTGAATATTAATATTCAGGAAACTGGGCACAATAATATATATAAATAATAATTATTATTTATAATTAGATTTTTTATTTATTATAATTTTTCCTCAGTTCTTTAATTAAGAAAAAGCAAATCAAGAATAGAAATTTGATATGCATTTGCATAATAAATAAATATTTTTGGGTTCTAGATATAGCTGAAAAGAGAGCTCCAGTTTGGTCTAGTTAAGGCACCGAGGTAGAAATCAGGAGACTGTGATTTCTAGTTCCACCTTAGCCATGAAAGCCAGCTGGGTGCCTTTGGGCCAGCCCAACTTTCCTCATAGTATTGTTGTTATGGGGAAAATAGGGGCAGTATTAGATATATTTGTCGCTTTGAGTTATATATAAAAATAATAAAGGCAAGATAGAAAAAAATCTAAAACATCCCCTATCTCTTTACCAGTGGATATTACAGCTTTATCTGTGGGGATGTGTCATTCATAATCACTTGGAGAGCAAAAGCTATCCATTGCAGAAGTAAAGTATACAAGAATGAACTATTCTGCATAGAAGGATAAGGCACAGATAAAAAAAATGACCTAAGGCAGGGGTGTCAAACTCAATTTCACTGAGGGCCATATCAGCTTTGTGGTTGCCTTGGGGGTGGGGGGGGCAGAGTGGGTGCAGGCTACTGGGTGGGCTTGGATGGAGTAGGTGTGGCCTACTGGTGGGTGTGGCCAATTCTACATCATTCACGTCAAGGGTGCCTATGGGGGGCCTTGGGACAGATCTGAGGGTCTCTGGCAGAAGGGGGTGGGACCGGGGCAAGTGCCAAGGCATGGTCCACTGGGGCAAGTGCCAAGATGGCCACCACAAAATTGTACATTGGCTCCTGGCTGGCCTGGGCCAGGACCAAGGCAGTGGGGGCCGTTCACTCACTGTTTCCAGGATGGCTTCGCGGGCCACATGAAACCACTTCGTGGGCTGCATCCGGCCCCCGAGACTTGTGTTTGACATGTCTGACCTAAGGTGATTTAATTAATCACTGACCTTTAACAATGTTTCAACTTTCTCTACCTCCTCTCTAATTGTCATTCAAAGTATGTGCAAAATTGCTTAGACGGTATCAGGACAAGTGGGAATTTAGTAGCTATTTCATATAAGATTATTTTATTTTATAATAGTAAAACAATATCTTATTTTTTGACAGAGGAAATGAAAAGGAGTTGGGTCTATAATTCTAATATTCTTAAAGGTTGAATATAGATATCAAGCATAGTCTTTCACAAATGAAAGCCATAAGATTCTTATTTTTTTCACTCCTACAGACCAAGGTAAATGTTTCTTTGAAACCTCATTAATGAATCTTTCAAATGGTCATGGAACATCAAGAGAAACTCCCTAAAGTTGAAGGTGACACTGTGGGCGTAAACAGGATTAAAATTGAATTGGTTGCTTCAGTATCATTTAGCTTCTCAGCCACAAGTGTTTTCAGATAACAAGTGCTCATTCTATGAGCTGAAAACATTTTGAGATGTCTGAATATTTTCATCTTATCACACTGAAAATAGATATTTTAAGGCTTTGAAGTTTGTTTTTTTCCCTTCAAACTTAACTTGTATTCAACAGTCTAATATTAAATTGTAGTGGCTTTTATTTCTCCCATGGCCCCACCCTGTGATAATATTCAAAAGAAAATGTAATCCAAAATACAGCACAAACTAACGACAAGGTAATGAGATCGATCATTAACATATTCTCAGTGCTAAAAGACTAATGTAAATTGTAATGGCATTTAACAGATGAAAGCTCTAGGAATTTTTGCCTAAATATATTGCCCTTGCTGTGTTCAAAAATTCCTTCAAAAAATAAAGTGGCAAAAATATGAAAGGAAATAGAATGTACTTCATTCATTCAAATTCATACAGTAATGCTTTTCAATTCATATAGTGATGCACTTAGTCAACAACATGATCAATCTAACTGATATTTAATTGGGTTGAAACAAACATCAAAGAAGTAGAAACCTAGAGTTTCTATTTTTAAAGAGAAATATCTAAATATCAAATAATGTCTTTTTTTTCCTTTTTCCTCTTCCCCTCCTCTTCTCTATCATGCAAGAGACATCAGATGTTCCTTCTTTTTCTTCCAAATAATTTTTAGGAAATGGCCAAACTGAATCATAAATTCTATAAAAATAATGCATTATAATACTGCAATTATGGAATACAACACTCTGTCCCTGATAATACAGCTATTTAAAAGAAAGAAAGTAGAAAAAATTAATCAAGAGGAGATTTTCTACTTATTTCTAAAATAAGTAATAACCTTTTTGTTATTTCATGTGACCTTTGTGACAACACTTTATTTCAATTCTGAGGAATCTGGACATTTTCACATACAATTCTCACATTTTGCTGTTTTTTTTTTTTTTTTACATTCGCTTAGAGTGTTTTATTGTAATATGAATGTAAAGAAACATTAACCAAAAAGTAACTTTTTAAAAATTCTAGTCTGCACTGACAATGAACTATATAAGACATGTACAGGAAAATCAATAGGATGTTTTGTCATTGAACAAATATATATATATATATATATCCTTAATAACTGTAAAAATCTGAATCCTGGGCATATCTATTCAATACTACACAATCTTTGAACTCCAGGATAAATATAAATCAGCTGTTTATTGTTAAAAAAATTAAAACAATAAAAACAACTATTTATAGTGTGTGTGTGCGTGTGTGTCTGTGTGTATACACAGTATATACAGTGTATGTGTGTGTGTGTGCACAAGAAAAAATCAATAATACATACATTAAACATCAGTACTAAACATAATCAAATATGTTTAAACTGAATAATATATACAATATATTATATATAATATATTCTAATAAACATTAGAAATCATCTGGTTAATTCAGAAATACTGCATGGGAGCAGTTCAGTTGCAGAGATCACCATGACAGAAATTAGTTGGGAGAGGTTAATCTCTGTGATAGCGGTGATAATGGTTAATCTCCCCCGATTGGTTCTAAGCATAAGATCTTTCCCATGTAGCCTATTGCCAGGGATCCTTGTTCTAGGGTCACAAATGTTTCCTACCTATTTATCTTCAAGCTACATCTGGCTCAGTGCCCTGCTAACTAACCACAACAAAGTTATAACAAAACTCTTTACAAAATTGCATGCATTTTTGGAAATAGATTTCGTGTGTGGTTGAGTCTACTTCACAATCTTTTAAATAGTCCTAGAATAGATAAAGTTCCTCAGATTTATTGTAGCCCTAACTCCAGTCCCTTTCCTTGAAATTAGATACCAGTGCACAGAATGAGAATCCATGCCTCAACCACTAGAGTCAGAAAGAGCTATCACCCTCACTGAGC